GTAATTCTTTTATTTGTAATACACTTTAAAAATAATGATTTGTTTTGAACTCTTTAATACAAAAATAACCTTGACCAAGAAAGGTACCTATTATAAGTAACGATGTTTAAAGAGATTATTTTGCATAAACAAGTGTGTCAAAAATATTGACAAGTATTATTGGATAACAAAACGTTTGAAACGAATTGCGTGGTAGTTTTTTTCGGAAATAACGATGGTCAGTTACGACATGTGCTTGTTCGCCAAATTATTTCTAAGATTGTTTACCAATATACTTTAAAACTTTGACAGAATGACCTAATAAAATGAAAATGCTATTAAAGTTAAAATTTATGTTTATTACACATGTATACAATATATATTATATATATGTAAGCTGTACAGGTATATAATACACAATATACACATGGCCATTCATTGTCTGCATCTATGTCTTTTGTACAGAGTTTCAAATGTCATCACAAAAGTTGACATTTGACAAAAGATATCGATTACGTAGATAGTAATGTACTAATGTGTATGAAATTATTAAAAAAGCATTTCCATTTGCAAAATGGAAATTTGAAATATATTACATAATATAAAGCACAATTGGGTCAAACGCTAAAACGTGTATAAATTCTGATGTATTAACTATTTAAGAAACACAATAATAATATGTTGGTTAAAATCATCAAGCTAATTTCTAATTAATATTAGGAAATAAACCCACTTGTTTTTAGAATAGTCGCGTAAAAAACCACTAGAAAAATCAAAAAGGTAAATAAAATACCAATTGGCCAAGGAATACCAAGCTAAATACAGTTTTACATTTTATCTAGACCAAAAATGTTGGTTTTGAGTTACAAGAAATATAATATGTATATTATATATATATATATATATTGTTTAATAGGAAAGAGCCATAGTGGAGGAAATAACGAAATATGATTTTTACCCGGGTTTTAGCTTTAACACAGATATTATACAGACAATATATGTATTGAATACGTATGTATAACGATTATTTTGCCAAGTATTAATATTATAAGTACCTATGACAACTGTGATGCCATTCTATAACACCTGTACATTTGCGTTTTTTTTAAATTTACACTAGCGTACTCATTCTCGTTGTATGCTACAAAGCACTGTTGTTACCTACTATCGTATCGATCAAGTTAATGCATTTTACTCATTAAGCGAGTGCATATTTTAACACAAATCAGCAAATATTTTTAAACATTTAAAATATAATGAAGGTGAATTTTTATTGTTGAACTATGTACATGTATACCTACAATTCAACCCATTTATAAAATTCTCAAGTAGCATGGGTTTTTAATAACTAAACAGTAACTCATATCAATATTCTGAAGCAAAATTTTAAATACAATTTTACATTTTGGTTTTTTACCTAAACCAATTATTTATTTTTAAACTGATGCATAAATAATTATTATTCTTTTATTTAACAGTGCTATTAATGCAGGTAGTTTCGAATAACTACGAGTATAATTTATAAATGTAAAATTATTATAAAAAAAAAGGGAAATTTTTCTATAACTAAGTGCAAACAAATATTAAAACGCAACAAATTTTACAACGATCATTATTCTTCACATAGTTGACACATATTGAATATATATCCTAAAACTAAAAGTTAGAACTCCTACATATAGGTGTTACGAAACAATTCAAACGGACTAAACTTTACACGCTTAGCATAACATTTTGCTTATGTCTATAATAAATTAAGGTAAATTTTAAAATTTTCTTTTTAAACATCTATTTAATAAAATTATTAATCATAGTAAATTAAATACTCTAACTTCAGAGTAATAAAGAAAATAATAATGAGCACGCATGAGTCATGAAATTTGTGACTCATGAATAAGTTAAAATAAATAAACTTATTTTTGGGGTAAATACAAGTATTAATAATATTACTAAAAAGTAGTTATGTATACCAAACTGTTAATATTTAATTTTTCTCAACAACAAGTTTAATGTATATATGTGAGTGTGTAACTGACAACTATTTAAGTTTAAAGTAACATTCAAAACAATAGGTATAGAGTATAGACCTATCATAAATTCCATGATAATTAATAACTATTGACTTAATCATAAAGATTAAGTGTTGCGATAAAAATATTTAGTAACCAATATGTACACCATTAATTATTATGGCGAGGTAAAACAACTACTACAATATATAATATATAATGTAGTCGACGTATTTTAAAGAAAATGTCTTTATTTAACTGCGATAACAGCAAGTTAAATAAATTATGACTTCAATGTTTTGAGACCTGCAAATGTAATGCATTTTATGAGTCAAAAGTAGAACCAACAATATATACTTAAATTCATCATGAAAAAGAACTACAACTTTATTTTAGAATGTATAAATCCCTATTCGGTATTTATAAATTATGACATGTTAAATAACCTTAATTGTGCTTGGTGTATCTAAGCAATAAACAATATACCTACCTACCTACAAGTAAAATAATTGATTTTAAAACTTCAAAAGACAATATTATTTCAGGACAGCAACAAAATAGTAAAATACCGAAGTACAAAAATATTTCGAAGAATACTAGGTACTTACTATTTTCGGTCAGAAGTATTTATGAATTTTAAAATTTGTTCGTCATTTAATAAATCAAACAAATTCATTATACAAAATTTTTAAAAACAGTGTAAACAGATGTGTTATATAGTTTGTTACTATGTATTTACATTCAGTGAATCATCAACTGAATGAATCTAAATGCTGCTTCAGAGTAGAGCATCATATCGAAATCTCTGAAAATCAAATGCGTATAATGTATATATGTACATAATAATTAATAATATATTATTTAATTACTGAAAGATTATATTTACAACGTCAATTTTGCTAAAGAATTTTAATTATAATTACTTAAAACCAAACCAATACGAAATATCAGTAGAGAATTTAATGACTTAAGATATGAAAAATATATGTTAAAACTATATTATTTTAATTGGACCAATTATACCAGTATATGTATATATTTGTTTTTCGTATTTTTAATAATCGCATTATTTATTTACAAGACGTGTATAAATAATATGATAAAAATAATGACTAAAGAGCGTGTGACAATTAAAACGAGATATAGTTATTTATCTCATATTTTATACTTAATTAATTTAACTAAGAAGAAAATGGTGTGTGTTATAGACTATCGTTTAACTCATTTCAATAAAAGAAACAAAAAATATAGTATGTAGTTCGACACATAGATACGAAATCTAAGTTCACTGTGAATTGTGATAATATACTCATATTTTAATGAATATAGTTTTTGAGGGCAAGCATGTTAATATTAATAAATTACCTAGTAAGGTCATGAAGAAAGCGCATTTCAAAATTAGCACCTATTATAATAAAAATTATTTGAGTTTAGTGTTCAAAAACAGTTGCTATTTTTTGGATGAACTAGTACTTTATTAAAAATGGCCACATAGATCGAAGTTCCTATCTATATGCAAAATATCATAGAAAACGAAAAAATCCTACGTTTCTAAGAAATTGTTTTTTGTCGGTTAAATCGTAAAAGTGAAAATTTAAATGAAATGTTGATGTAAAAAACTAAAACTTCGATCTCCACATACTTCAGTTATATAAATTATAATACAAACAGTAATTATTATGCTTCGTGTTTTCAGTATAACGATAAAAAAACTGATTCACAACAATTTGTTAAACAAACAATGGTTCTATACAAATATATGTAAATATAAATTATTCTTATAACAAATAAAACATTAAATATTAAGTTATAAGCTAACGTTAGTTTTAGTACATCGGCAAAAGGTTAAATTTTATATTACTCTAATAATGCATACATTTATACTACATATTATCTACATGTGTCATATATTAACTTAATAAACACGATTTTATGTAAGTATAAAATGTATACGACTAGCTATGACCGTTTAATGATCAAATTTAAAAATTGCTTAAAACAGTAAAGTTATAAATGCATTTATTTAAACATTTTAAAAAAATAACGAAATATAATTATTAGCTATTTTTATAAAAACTTTTTAGGCATAGATTAATAATTATTAGTTTTATGAAATGTTTTAAAAATTATTAAACGATTGCCTATGCTGTTTTTGATAGTTTTAAAAACAACATTCGGTATAGGAACATAGAACCTACGTTCAAATTATTTACCAAGTTAGTTTACACATATGAGTAAACATATGGTCGAAAACTTAGGTATCTACGTAATGCAATTCGGAACAAATATTCACCTATTTATTCAGAAATTCGATGTAGAAACATAAGAGTAGTTGGATATCACAAATTATCGTTAAAATTAATATAATAATTAAAACAATAGCAATTTTGGACTTGAGGCTATTTTGATCTCAAGAGCTACATTGGCTATAATTAAAATTGAAAATTAATCATGGTATTAAATTGTAATCATTAAAATATTATTAATACAATCAATATTCAATATTTTAATCTCCAAAACAGCTTAAAGCGGTTTAATATTATCACAGAATGTCGGTGTAACTATTTCTTTCGCGAAACCGTTTGTTTCGTCAGTGTATTTCCAGATGAATTATCGAAATTCAAAACCGGTCTAGTTTTCCTGGTTTTTAACTGTCATTCAACAACCTTCGAAAATGTTCCACGATATCATTATTGTTATTATTATAATATAATATTATATTCATTGGACTCACTAAGAAAATGTATATTTCCCACCAAACCCGCGTCTCGCGTTACTATAAATATACCCGTCGATGCGAACTCAGGGACCAAAGTAGGTACAAAATATTGGACACACCGGCTTCAACTATTTTAAGCGACTGATACATTTTTTACACGACGAGATAATATATCAACGACCTATTCTATCGATAAAGCGATATATGTTTAAATAAAAACTTACGACACTAATGATAATATACCCTGTTTTGTGTACTTATTTTTTTTTTCCAAAATAGTTAAGTTTACTTACCGAGACGTTGTTATTCGTCAACGGAGCTGTTTCGGTCTTGGCGATGTTTTCTGCCGGCGGCGATACATTAATGGCGGGTGGTGGGTTGGCGGGCGCAGGGTTGGCGGCGGGTGCAGGATTGGCGGGAGTAGGATTGGCGGGAGCAGAATTGTTGGGTGCTGCAGAGTTGGCGATATTGGAGTTCGTCTCAGCCGAAACGCATTGCAACGCGAAAGCAAATACAACTGTCAGCAGTACGAACGTATTCCTTGCTCGGCTTTCCATTGTCTTCAAATTTATAACGCAGTACGTCCTGTGCAGTTCGAAATTAATTAACGTGAATTTATTTACCGAACTGTAGGTATATAATGTCCGCTGAGAAGAGGAAATCCACTTGAAGGTGTATCAAACAAGACGACGACGACGACGACGACGACAAACCACAATGATCTCGGTGTCCGCTGCGTTGGTGCGTGCTTCGAAAACCGGCGTCTGTCTGCAAAATGTGAAAGCCGGCCACCAGGCATACGGCATATTATACGGTGGCGGTCGGTGGTGCGCTGCGCTTTTCGGATTGCATCGGTCGGTGGGGGAAACATGGGCCGCCGCCGCGACGGCGCGACGTCTGGTGATCAGAACCGGTATAAACCGCCAGCGTTCGGGCCCAAAACTCTATAACGTCAATTGGTTACCTACCCATTTCAAATTTCAATTTTATACAAACACGTTTCGTTTCTATTCAGATCATGGTATTATTGATTTACTCGAGTTATTATTCAGTGTTTGTCGGTCTTAAAACACCTTTTATAATATGTATAGTTAACTATAAATGTTAAATACTCCAATTGTTAAATAATAATTACAATAACAGTATTATGTTATTATCTATCACTAGTTATCGTAAATTGCGGTTATGATTTATAAGGTAAATACTAAATAGTCCGTTATAATGTTAAACTGCATTTAGCATACTAGGTAGGTACCTTGTATCTATTGTGGTAGGTATTTCTCAATTTGATTTTAATTTATTCTGTTGACTGATTTTATTTAGTGTTACACCAACTACATTACTAAAATGCAAATTTTCATAGATAACCCTTATTGTCATTTGTCTTATTAGTTATTACCTAGCATTGCATAAATTTATATTAGTTTCCTTGTAATGTATTATAAAATATATTAGATAATAAAGGTAAAAGTATATATATTTTAATATTCTGTTGTAATAAAAAAATGTATTAACGTGTATAGAAAAAAATATCAAGTATCTATAAATAGTTCAAAAAAGTTAAAATATTTTGAAATTTATTTATTGTCTAGAATTCTAGATAATTTTAATATTATAATTATTTGGTAATAATTTCATTTTTTTTTTGTTTGGGTTTTTTTAAATTACAAGTCACAACAAAATAACAAAATCAATTTTGTAAGAAAATTGTGTTTTATATTCTTGTTTTTCCGTAATTATTTTAATTTTTCCTGAATATTAAGAACATTACGAGGAATACGAAATTGCGAACTATGTATAATTTGGTATCAGAAATTCAGAAACCACTTTTAATGTTAAGAATGGAGTACTTTTAATATTCCAAAAGGCAATGAGAGGCATTCATTTAAAAAAAAAACATATCATTGTTCAAACCGATAAATGTATTACTCATATACTCGGAAGATGAAAAATGTTAACATTTTTATTTACAATAATAAAATCGTCATAATATTTTAGACTAACGGATTGGAGTATGTATTTAGTTTACACCATTAAAAACAGTGGAATAATTTTGTGAATTTATGTATTTTAATTTGGAGGTTTGAAATGTGCACCTTATTCAGCAATATAAATTATAAAATGTTATAAAAGTTGATGTTCAAATAACCTAATGCAAGACACAAGTCCATGTTTAAAAACCATGAAAATAAATATTGAAACCAGCAACAAAAATAAATATAATCGTTATTATCTATTCTGTCCATTGGGAGAAAATAATGTTCTTTTTTTATTTGAAATACACAATAATAAGTACAAATTAGCTCAATAAGTAAAATGTGATGTGATAATTGTGTGAGATTACCGCAGATATACTTATGTTTATAAAATTATAACCATCAAAACCCATTAGTGAAATAATATTTTATAGGTACATAGGCATGTGCATATTTGTTGTATAGATTGTAGATTGTCTTTTTACTTAATAAAAAAAAAAAAGGTATATGGGTATAGGTTATTTTTAATATTATATGATTATTAAAACATAGTATTATCATTGCATATCATTTAAGATAAGATTTACTGGTACAATAATAAAGAATTCCAATGGCGTTTTGTTTATAACTTAAAGTACATAAATTATACTTAACCTATACCTATAGACAGGTTATATTATTTGCTTATCGATTAGGCATATTTCATATGCACTAAAATACCTACAGTGGGGTTAGAAGGGAATAATTACCGAAATAAAATTGGAAAGAAATTTCGATTGGTTGTATACAACATATTATGGGTTCATCGAGTAAAAGTTGAACTATAGTTGAAATATAATGTATCCCTTATAAATTATATTTGTTTTCATTTGGATTACCTATGCATTTATATGCTGGTTTGGACAATTATTTTTTTGGCACTTGAGATGAGATTTATAATTTGGAGAACTCTTGAAATTGGATGTGCAATGACCAATGAACATCGCCACGTAAGAAAAAATGAAGTGATTTTTCGTCGTTTGATGATACCATTATAGGTGGATTTAGGTGTATAATTCATTTTTGAAATTATATTTTGTTAATTAAGTAATCCCGTGCTCCAAAATTCAGCCCTGACTAGTCATTAAACATTATTGATTTATAGGCATTAGGCAATACATCAAATTACTAAAATTAATAATCAAAGAGGGCAATTTTAATTTAATTATTATTAAAAATTATTTAAATAACCAAAGAATACTTTAATTGACAAATGAGCCCTGGGGTCCGTCGTCCGAGCCATTCTAACAATTTTATATGGCCATTAACAAATTTTGTCATACTAAAATGAAACAATATTATGGCAATTCTCAAAGAACATGGAAAACAAAACTTATTTTTGTCTTCTTCGAGTAAATAAAACAATTTTTAATTTAATTAATTTACTCAACAGTCGTTAACACGCAAACAGCTCGGTGGCCACCGCCCGCCAGTAATTCAAAGCAATACACGTTTGTTTGACACTGTTTATTTTAAGAATTATCTTGAAAATGTACTTTTTGATATAGTGTATTACGTTAAATTATATGATATAAGATAAGATTGTACATTTTACAGGTGTAATTGGTTTTTATATTGTTAGTGCTAATAATTGTGCTATTCATATTAAGAATATGAGGAGGGCTTATGAGGAGCGCGTATGTGTAAGTTTATGCCCTAACAAATGCTTACAAGTTAAAAAACAAGCATGCACTTATGCTCTAAAAACTTGCAAGATCCATTGAAATATGCCTTAAAAAATTCAGAGATATGCATCTATATGCAGTATGCACTACAAATGTACAGAATAGGTTGGTCTCATAAGAGAGGAAGGTTTTTCAATCATGGATTTTTGCAACAAATCTATTTTATCAAAAATGCAAAATGTATTTTATTGCTGTATAATATATTAGGTATAAGCTAGCTTAATAGTATATTATTGCAATATTGCCTATTAACATAGGGCAATTTGGTTTAAGGTTTTTTCCAAAATTAATACGTGCTATTATCATAATATTATGTCTGATTTGATTTCTTGTATAGGTAAAAATCATTCATAGTTTTTTTTTTTTTTTATGAAGTTTTTGGAGAATTGATCCCTCGAACTTGTTTATGATTGGTGCATACAAATTACAACAACATAATAATTTATAATTTCTGAAATGTTAGGTACAAGTTATAGAAATTATTCGTCGTTCGCAAATGGTGAATAACTGCACATTTATATACCTAATAATATACATCTAATAATTAGTAAACAAGAACAATATAATAAATAGCTATTTGTGCATGGTATTAGTCATCCCTCACAGGTTTGTGTTTATTGAATTTTTCACCCTCCCCCTTCTACCACAGTAAATTCATAACAAACGTCAACGAAAAGGTCGTAGTGATAGAACAATACTGATTTCTGAAATAAAGTAGTTATTAGGTAACTAAACTATAAGCTATCATCAAATAATTAACTTTATTTAAAATCTAAATGTCTGTATATTGTACCAATCAAAAATCGTGATATTTTCAAGTACCGCATACTATACATGAATACGTTATAGGCACCGTCTATCATAGAATAGGAGTTTTACTAGAAGCTAACGTTCAAGTTGATGGGAATAAATTGATTTTTAATTTAAACTACTTACATTTTATAGATTAAGTAGATTTATTTTTGATTCTGTGTATTTTTCATCTAAACAACAACATAATACATTTTGTTACATAAAATATACTTGTAAAGTCGTACATAAACTTGACATTGGTATTCCTTTTAATTTTCCTGATTTCAAACAATAGAGTTAAGGAACAACAAAATGAATTGTGTGGGTATAGCCGTATAGGTAAAAATAATAAATATTGTATTTATTATTTTTACTAAAAACAATTTAACTTGTAAAGTTGTAGTGAATAATAACTAACAAAATAATAATATACCTATATGTACCTATATATTGTGTTAATCAATAGGGAAAAAACGACGTGAATTTTATATTATGTTACACAAATCATTCTAACTTCTATAAGAAGTGAAAATTATAAACAGACACATACATATTATATAGATATTGTATTATTGTATATACTATATACCTAATATACATATATATTTTTTCATACACATACCTAAGAATTAAGTCATACATGTATAGCTGTATTTCATAAATACACATTTTATGAATATAAACTATTTGTTCATAGTATACACTAATTACACTATACACTAATTATTTTATTTATATTCAGAATACACATTCATGAGTTTTTGATTATGCAACGAAAATACATAAAATAAGTAGATAAAGTAGTATTAGCAGTAATTAAATACTAAATAGTAAGTAACAAGAGTTTTAGTTTATAAATAATAAAATGTAAGATTTGAATACTAATTTTTTTTTAATCTCATACACAAGTGGGTACTTAAATATTTATATCTAACACCTAGTAAAAGATTTATAATTATTAGGTATCCATAATTCATTAATTCTATAATCAACAATTTGATAGATCGATTGAAATTGAAATTCATAAGTATCGAATAATCTGTAAATAATTCGCTAAATATGTATATTATATATAGCCGGTCGTATAGGTGTACTTGTAAGCCACTACACAATTAGGTACACTCCAATATCTTTATCTTAAATAAGTTATTATGTAATATAATAGAAATATGTCATCACTGGAACTAAAAAAATATACCTTCACCATGATGAAATTTAAAACAATCAAAAATGTACCTACGTTTTATTTTACGTATATAGATAAAAAAGTTTTGATAAGTTTAAAAAAATTATAGAATTGAAGATACCT